TAAAGAGCATAAGAGGGGGCTTGCCTGGTGGTCCAGGGGTTAAAAATCTGCCTGCAAGTGCAGGGGACACCGGTTCAATCCCTGCTCCAGGAGGATCTCACGTGCCCTGAGGCAACTAAACCCAGGTGCCTGAACCACAGTGCCCCAGAGCGGGGGCTGCAGCTACTGAAGCCGTGCGCCTGGGGCCCGTGCCCACAGCAAGAGGAGCTGCTGCAGTGGGACGCCCCGATCTTCACAGCTAGAGAGAGCCCCCATTCCCCAAAACTAGAGAGATCCCCTGCCCTCCACAGCTGGAGAGAGCCCCTGTGCGTGCAGACCTAGTCCGACGAGTAAAGAGCATAGAGAATAACATTAGTTATTGCACATAAGAATATAAGTTCTTTGCCTGTTCTCAGTACTATGGTGTTTCATGTTAATCATAACAAGAGGAGTAAGCATTTGAAAAGTAGAAGTTCCTAATCTCAGTTTATTCACTTTAAGTGCCAAGTCATTAATCTGAAAGGAAAAAATTGCCTTGAGTGAATTTACTGTGCTTTCCTTTGTAAACGTTTGCTGGCTGAATTTGCACAATACAATGATTTACCTGCACTTCACTGCCTGGTTTCAAAAGTTGTTTTTTAATTATTCCAAACATTTATTGAGCTTTAGGACCCACTAAAAGTTAGCCAGGTGGGTTTCCTGGCTACATCAGGGCTTGTTGGTTTAGATCCCGTAAAAGAGGTTCCTTATGAGGACAGGCATGTACAGAAGAGGGACTCTGGAGTGTAAATGAGTCAGGAAAGCTATTACTGTTACTATACTAACTAATGTGGAATTAGTATTATAACAACATCATCATGCAGTGTTTGCCACAAAGTATGCAAACCATCTTAAAGCACATGGCACTGTGTAGCCTAAGTCTTTATAATGTATAAGTTACTGTGTCAATTATATCTCAGTAAAGTTGGAAACAATGTAGAAATACTTGATATTGGAAATCAGTGTTTTGGATTGCTTATCTATGCCTGTGAGAAGGTTTTTAAGCAGTTCATTTTTATTTTATGCAGGCTCTGCTTGTTTTTATTCTCCTTAGTTCATTTTGTTTATGGGTTTATTTGCACTTGTTTGCCTAACTGGTTTGGGGTCATGTTTCATATTTTTAACTCTTTCATCTCACCTATTGTCAATTCCCACTCGGTTAGCACTATCTTTCTATCCTTTCTTTAAATAAAAATTTTAATAGTTTGGAAGAATTTGATACCTACCTATATTAAATATTAGTATGTTTAGATTAGAATAATGTCCTTTGGGGTTTCATAAACTTTTGGAACATTTATATTGGTGGTGAATAGACGGGGGGAAAATGAAAAAAGTGACATTTTATTTTCTTGGGCTCCAAAATCACTGTGGATGGTGACTTCAGCCACAAAATTAAAAGACACTTGGCTCCCTGGAAGAAAAGCCATGACAAACCTAGACGGAATATTATAAAGCAGAGACATCAGTTTGCTGACAAAGGTCCATGTATTCAAAGCTATGTTTTTTCCAGTAGTTATGTATGAATGTGAGAGTTGGATTGTAAAGAAGGCTGAGCGCCGAAGAATTGATGTTTTCGAATTGTGGTGCTAGAGAAGACTCTTGAGAGTCGCTTGGACTGCAAGGAGATCAAACCAATCAGTCCTAAAGGACATCAACCCTGAATGTTCACTGGAAAGACTGATACTGAAGCTGAAGCTCCAATCCTTTGGCTACCTAATGCAAAGAGCCAACTCATTGGAAAAATGCTGATGCCGGGAAAGATTGACGGCCCGAGGAGAAGAGGGTGACAGAGGATGAGATGGTTAGACAGCACCTATGCTATTTAATTGGAGAAGGAAATGGCAACCCATGCCAGTGTTCTTGCTTGGAGAATCCCAGGGACGGGGGAGCCTGGTGGGCTGCCATCTATGGGGTCACACAGAGTCGGACACAACTGAGTCGACTTAGCAGCAGCAGCCAGCAGCAGCATGCTATTTAATGGACATGAGTTTGAGCAAACTCCAGGAGATAGTGAAGGACTGGAAGCCTGGTGTGCCACAGTCCATGGGGTGGCAAAGAGTCAGCCACGACTTGGTAACTGAACAACAATATTGGTGATGAAGAGAACTTTCTGAATGATACTGTTAAATATCAACCAGTAGGTGGCGAAAACTGGCAATAAAACCCTTTTTGTTTGGCAGATCGGAGAATAAAGAAGGGAAGCAAAGGCCTTTGAGACACTGGGTATGATCTCCATTCCCTGCGTCTTGTCCTTTTCTCTCCCTGGTACCACCCACCGCTGAACCCAGCCAGCAAAGCTGGGAAAAGGACCAACCATCGGCTCTTAAAAGTGGAAGACGTCTTGGCAAGTGAAATCCCACTGCCTACATTTGGAAGGTTATTGGAAGATCTCTAGGTTTGTACCTAGGACTCCTGACTCAGACCGGTGCCCCTCCGACCAGGTCACCAACTCAGTTCATTCACACACTTCTGAGGAATGCTTGCCCTGACACTTCTGGTAGAATCTGATAAGCATGCAATCTGAATGGAGGAGTGGTTTCACTGTCTTGATTGAAGGATTACCCAGAACATTCCCAGGGAATATTTAGCCTTAGTCAAGATTAATGCAGACCTGTCCTGAGAATGTTGGATTATCAAGGTGCCACTTAAGTGTGGAAGAATCTGTGGAGTAAAGGAGAGAAGGAAGGCTTCCCTTCACTCGGAATGGGCTCTGCATCCTTCTGGTTCCCCGCCCCCCGGCAGAAGGACAGCCTTGGTTCCAGCTCTGGCCTCTCGCTTCCTCGCTCACATGCTGGGTTGCAAGCACTGAGGCTTTCAGTTCCTCCTAAGCAACTTCAGGAGTTAAGGCAAGTTCTGAGAAGACCCCTACCCCAGGATGGGTGGCCTCAGCTCGGCTTTCCTCTGTTTCTGTGAGAACAGATCCCCAGGCCACCACGCCTCACCGTCACTGCCGTGGAGAAAAGGCGATGGTCCGGCAGCTGGAAGCAGGAACGACCATCTTCTTTTACTCCTTGCCTGGATGAGACGTTTGCACCAGGTACGCACGCCTACAGGCCAGAGGTGGGCTGGCATGTCGGCTGACTGGCTTTGATAAATGAAGAGATGAAAATAATTTCCCGTGCTTATTTTACCAAAGAATGAACGTGTTGATTTTAGTCTAGGAAGGAGTCCAAATACAGTGTGAGAACGCATGTGCACACCCCGCAGTACTCAACCCTTCTATTTCTAAGACCACAGCAAACGAGGCTGCCCTTAAGTCTTACTTGAGCCTTATGGGGTGTTACTCACTCCATTGTGTGTGTGCGACTCTTGGCAACCCCATGGACTGTAGGCCGCTAGGCTCCTCTGTCCATGAAATTCTCCAGGCAAGAATACTGGAGTGGGTAACCATTCCCTTTTCCATGGGATGTACCTGACCCAGGGATGGAACCCTGGTCTCCCTGAATTGCAGACAGAGTCTTTACCATCTGAGCCGCCAAGGAAGCCCAATTAACTAAGCCGCCATGCTATTAGTAAACATTTTTTTCCCTGGCACTTTGTCAAAGACTTTTAGAAATAAAAATAAGCACATGCAACTTGTCTGCCCTCTGTGGTTTTTTTCTGGGGGCCATTTGTACTGATGAATTTTTTAAAATGTTTACGTATATAAAATGTATATGTATGAATGTGTATAAAAATATTAAAAGTGTGTACACATGTGTGTATATATAGCTTGGTGTATGTATAGATAGCTCGAGAAGGTGCGGACGTCTGGAACTGACTGCTGGACAGCCTCGGCAGCCTTTAGAAACCCGCCCGCCCTGACTGTGGTGCTAAGGGCCTAAAACTGCCCCCGCGGCTGCTAACCCAGCGCCGAAACGGTTGCGAGCAAGGGAAAGAGAACCTGCCTGCAATGCAGGAGACCTGTGTTCGATCCCTGAGTCAGGGAAATGCCCTGGAGAAGGGACAGTCTTGTTGCCCGGAGAATCCCAGGGACAGGGGGGCCCTCGGGCCGCAGTCCCTGGGGTCGCAGAGCCCTCCACCACCACTTGCTCCGAACAGCGCTCAGCCGCCCCGGCCGTCCGTCCGCGGGCCCGGGAGCCGCGTCTAGCCTGGGCCCGGGTGGGTCTCCGAAGCGCGCCCTCTGCGTGGACAGCCAGGAAGCAGCTGGAAGGAAACGCGAGGCTCGGGGCTTCCCTCGCGGAGGCGCGCGCGGCGTGGCCTCTCTTCTCGGGAGGCCGGCGCCGAAGCCCCCTGCTTGGGGTCAGCATCGGCCGAGTGTGGACACCCGGGGTGCGGACGCGCGCGCCCGCAAAGCGCGCGCCCGCGGCCAGAAAGGGTCCAAGCGACTCCCGGCGCCGGTTTTCTCGTTGTCTCCCGCCTTTGCCCCCGGCAGCCGACCCCCGCCGCGGGCGGATCCCCGGGCGCCCCCGGGCCCTCGCGGGCCCCGGAGACCCTGAGCGCGCGCCCGGGCGCCGCAGGCCCGAGGAGGCCCCTCGCGCGCCCACCACGCCGCCCGCCCCCCCGACCCCGGCCGAGCGCGCGGAGCGGGCGGGGCGTCCCGGCCCCCCCATTCCCCCGGCTCCCGCCCGCCAAGCCCCCGGCGGGGCGCGCGCTCCGCGCCGGCCGCGGCGCCTTTAACCCGGCCGGGGGGGCGGCTCCGGGGAGGGCCCGTCCTTTCTTCTTTTTTTGAATGAACCGTGTGACGCAAGCACAGGAAACCGGGCGGTTCGAGCGGAGAATGAAGTCAGAGGCCGGGCCCCCCGCACCGCCCCCTTCCTCCCGCCGCCCCGCCCCGCGCCCGGTCCCCCCGCCGCCGCGAAGGTGCGGGCGACGGGCCCCCCCGGGCGGCGTCCTCGGCCGGAGCGCGCGGCGCGGGGGCGGGGAGAGGGTGCGCGGCCCGGAGGCGGGGTGCGCCGGTGGGGTGCAGCGGAAGAGGGGTCCGGGGGGGGGAGAACTTCGTAGCAGTCATCCCTTTTTAGGAAAAGAGGGGGAAAAAAATATCAAGCCCTCCCCGCCAGCGCCGCCTCCCACCCTCGCGGCACCACACACAGCGCGGGCTCCTGGCGCTCGGCACCGCGGGGCCGGCGCGGCCAGCCTGCGTCTATCGGCAGTTCTTCGGAAAATGCATTGGCCGTTCGGAGTTTGATCCGGAGAGGATCCCCGCCCGCGTCCCCGGCTCGCCCGTCGGCCCCGGCCCGGTGTTCTCTCTCCGGGGAGGCGTGAGGCGGCCCCGCGGATACAGATCCATGTGTGTGCCCGCGCGTGTGTGCGCGCGTGAAAATTGCCGAGAAGGGGAAAATCACAGGACTTCTGCAAATACCGACTGAGAAATGGTAATTCATCCGCCGCCGCCGCTGCCTTCCGTTTGCCCGTGCTCTTGAGATCTCCGGTTTGGATTCCTATGGATTGACATTTCTATGAAGAAGTCTGGGAATCAAACTGGAAATTGTCCTAATTTTTTGCACCCCCTCCCCCAACTCCTGATTCATTTGGAAGTTTTCAGAGCAGCTCTAACTGGAGAGTTCTGAAGATTGATGGAATCTTTTTGCCTTTTCATTTGTTTTCACAAAAAAGGAAACTTGACAGAGGATCATGCTGTCCTTAAAAAATACAAGTAAGTTCTTTGCACAGGAAATTGGCTTAATGTAACTTTCAATGGGAACCTTTGCGATTTTTACTTTAAGTGCTTTGGAGTAAGTTTAATTTCCAGGCAGTTTAATATATTCTTCTAAGCGTGTAACTTGTAGTGTGTGTGCCCTGCTTTCAACCAGCGTATAGAGGGAAACGCACCTGATTTTGACTGATTAGTTTTTTTAACCTTTCAGCATCACGGAGGAGGTAGACTGGTATTAACAGTAATTAATAATGTGCTTCATGAAATAAAGATCCGAAAGGAATTTAAATAAAAATTTCCTGCATTTCATGCCAAGAGAGAAACACCAGAATCAAGTGTTCCGCGTGATTGAAGACACCCCCTCATCCAGGAATGCAAAGCACATCCAATGAAATAGCTGGATTATAACTCTTCACCCCTTTTGCGGGGCCGTGGGGCAGGCAGCGGGGGGCGAGAGGTGCTGTGGGGACCCGGCTGCCCTTCCGCTGCGGAAGGATGGCGCACGCGGGGGGAACAAGCTACGATAACCGGGAGATCGTGATGAAGTACATCCACTATAAGCTGTCGCAGCGGGGCTACGAGTGGGATGCGGGAGATGCAGGCGCCGCGCCCCCCGGGGCCGGCCCCGCGCTGGGCATCCTGTCCTCCCAGCCGGGGCGCGCGCCCGCGCCCTCCAGGACCTCCCCGCAGCCGCCCCCGGCCGCCGCCGCCGGGCCTGCGCCCAGCCCGGTGCCACCTGTGGTCCACCTGACCCTGCGCCAGGCCGGCGACGACTTCTCTCGGCGCTACCGCCGCGACTTCGCCGAGATGTCCAGCCAGCTGCACCTGACGCCCTTCACCGCGAGGGGACGCTTCGCCACGGTGGTGGAGGAGCTCTTCAGGGATGGCGTGAACTGGGGGCGCATCGTGGCCTTCTTTGAGTTCGGCGGGGTCATGTGCGTGGAGAGCGTCAACCGGGAGATGTCGCCCCTGGTGGACAGCATCGCGCTGTGGATGACCGAGTACCTGAACCGGCACCTGCACACTTGGATCCAGGACAACGGAGGCTGGGTAGGTGCTCGTCCGGGTGGGCGTCAGGGCCCGGCGCCTCGGGTCCCAGTGTGGTCGGAGGGTGGGGTGTGGCTGGGCCCAGGGTCAAGGGCAGGCCGGTGAAGTGAAACCAGGTGTGTGGCCTCCCTTTCTCTTCCCCTGCAGAGATCTCTCCCTGCCAACCCTACTGTGATCACTTCTTCCCTGGAGACATTGCTTCCCTTGCCTGCCAGCCACTGAGGTTCAAAGATCCAGCCTTTGCTGGATCAGTAGAATCTGGGGATAAAGGGCATCCCTTCAAGGTTTCTCAAACTGGGAGTCCAGGGATCCCCATGATCACGGTACCTGGCCGAGTAGCTTATTGAAAAGGAGCGTTTCAGGGACAACTCATAAACTGGACACCAGGCTGAGTCCTGTCTATCTGCATCAGAAATAAGCTCCCCTGGGGGTTTCTGCTTTGTCCTAAAATTTGGGAACTACTGGATTAGAAGAACAGATTCTTCTAGAGGCCCAGGGGCCTGCCTTCTCTGACTCACTTGGTAAAATCTACCAAAAGAGGAAAACCAGCGTAGCCCCTTTCCCTAGAAACTTGGATGACTGTGAAAAGGTAAGTTGACTTCCAGAGTCCGGTGACACTGACCTCCAATTTGTGCCACATTCCTAGTGGGCAATGACCTTGTGTCTTGAAGAACCTTTGGCTATGGGTGTTTGTTTCATCACTGACAGATTTCGCATTGGCCGCCTACCTTGTGCTCTATTTCCATAACTTGTGTATGATTTAGAAGTTTACTGGAATTTTTAGTATATTTTATTTTCCACCCTAACCTCCTAACCTACAATGCACATCGTTTGGTGGGATCCTCTGCTGGGCAAACTTGCATCCAGAGTATCTGTATAAACATAGGAGAATTGATTCTTAGCTGTGGATTCTCATGCTGTGACTTTAGTTGAAGTGATTGATGCTTGTATTTTTGAAGAACATCTGTGAGCTTTTTTTTCCTGGTACTGTTGTGCTAGGCAGAGCCTCCGTCATGTCACCATGAAGCTCTTTTTGTGAATGTGATTCTCTGAGGGAGGGGTGCAGCTCCGAAGACCGAAGAAGTGTCATTGACATCTGTACTTCATATCTGAAATGATTAATTTGTGAAAAAGTGAAAGGAATAACTGGTTCAAGTTTTTTGCAGACTTTTTGTTTTAATCTGAAGAGGTGTCTTTGAAAAAGGATGCCATTCAGTGCCTCCTTTTACAGTCTCTAGGAGGATTACTAATATTATTATTTTATAGGACCTAACAGGAGTAAAAACCTTAGAAGTCACTACATGTGGGTTTGACTTCAAAAAGCACGTTATCTATTTTATACGGTTACAAAGTGTGCAGGTATTAGGGGGCTGAAAAGAGAAAAGTCCAAGAAAAGCAGATGACTGACGTGAACATCTGATCCAACTTGACCAAAGTTGACAAAATATTGATGCCACTGTTTAGTGTTTAAAAGTGAAAATCCCCACTTAATCTCTAAAATTTATTAATAAATGCTTTTTGTGAACTGTTTGTTTCTTTTAGATCCCATTTTACCAGATCTTTAGTAATTTTGGAAGAGTTCTGTAGAAGGTGTAAGGAATATTTTTGTTAAATGTTTGATTAAGTAGGTGATTTTGTTTTTAACCACTATAACCAACGAGGTAGGGACTTCCAGATGCCAAAAGGATCATTTCGAGACCAAAGTAAAACTAACTGAACAGTCTGACTATTACATACTTTTGTGAAAAAATATTAAAAATTTTTGCTTTCTGGTTGAAAGAAAGCCAAGGTGGTAACTGTCATGTGTCAAGTAATTCAATGAAAAGATGGGAAATGGAGACATTTGTTTATGATAGAAATTAAGATGTATTCTTGATCTTTGTTGTCAAGTTGTGCTATATTAACATCTCATACAATTGAATTTTCTTTTTAAGTGAAGGCTCGCTCTTTCCTCCTTTCAAAATAGAATTTTCTTAGTAGAGCCTATCTTTGTGGTCAACAGGTATCTGAGGTTGATAAATGTAGAGGCTACATTTTATGATGCCAAACCACAATGACGTACCATAGAACATGATAAACTTTTTCTTGACAAAACCTCTTATAGTAAAAATAAATCATATAGAAGCACAAATTGCTGATGGTGAAATGTGTAGCATTCAGGACAATATAGAGATGGATGACTAAATAGGAAAACAAAGGACTTTGGCAGAAAAAAGTGTGAGGAAATGCTATCATAAATGGGCACTTTGGAATAATAAAAGAGGTAGTATTATTTGAGAAGTATATTTGGGAGGCTGATTTACATGTCCTTTCCAAAGATGCATTATGAATCTAAATTTTTATTTTGAGCATTTGGCATCCAGACAGATTTTCCTCCCAATTTGCACCAATCAGGGTTGCTTCTCTCATAACACGTGCTGTGGTACGGCGTGAAGGCCTCGGTGCGGATGGGCAGGTTTCGGAGGAGAGCTGGCATGCTCTTCTAATGTTGGACAGTAACGTGCACTGCCTACAGGGCTCAGTGGATCAGCCCATCTGCTAAATCTGTTCTGATGGGGGCTTTAGACTCGAAGTCACATTTGTACTTTGCTGCTGCTGCTTCTGAGGCTGAGGGAGAACGGTTTGCACTCCGTGCTCCATAAGCTGGAGAAAGCAGGGCCTTGGATGGTAAGTGCCTGAGAGGTGGTTTCAGAAGTCTGCACGTTGCACAAACACTGAAGAAGAAATTGGCTGTGGAGTGGACTGTGGCTTTATCCCTGAGTCTGAATAAAGCATCCAGAGGGAGGCAGGATGGCAGAGCAGCGAGACAGCAGTGGTTCTAGGAAGCATCTGAGAACTGCTGCTCCACGTGTGGGAGCTCGCGGGCATCCCCTGGGAGCGTCTTGGAGGAGCAGAGCCTCAGGTCCCACCCAGAGCCTCTGAGTCAGAGCCTGTGGTTCACACATCTACAGGTGTTGGGGTGCACAGGGCAGTTAGAGGTGCCGGCTGCCATCACTGACCACTGATTCCCGTGACATCTTTTAGGAAAAATGAGAGTCCGGGAGGGGTCCTGCAGCGTCCCTTTCCAGTGGCCTCCTGGGATCCATGGTGTTACCTAGGATGCCAAGTATTTCCCAGGTATCTGCTAGAGTGGTCTGAGCTTTGGAGGAGAGAGGCTGGAATGCTGTAGAGACGAGCGAAATGATCATAAGCTCTGACCTCAAGGATGTTTTTCGTGATAACTATACAGTCTGTGGGCCTTCCTCGGAGGCTCAGCGGTAAAGAATCTGCCTGCAATGCAGGAGACAAGGGTTCCATCCCTGAGCCAGGAAGATCCCCTGGAGGAAGGCACAGCGACCCACTCCAGTCCTGGCAGGCTACAGTCCGTAGGGTCAAAGAGAGTCAGACACGACTGAAGCAGGTGAGCGCAGCACAATGTGTACTGGCATTGGTGGCCCCGTTAAAGGAAGATAGCTTTCCCACTCCTGGTAAAGACAGGAACCTTAACTCTTAATGGCTGTGTTCAGTATTGTTTTATCCCCTTGTAACTCAGTTCAAATTTCTGTAGATGAGTTTAGGGGCCCTGGGACCACTTCATGGCCACGGTGGCTTTTGCAAGCAGAGGTTTGGGATGTAGGCAAGTGGATGGTGAATGGTGCGCTCTGAACTGAGAAACGTGAGAACATTTTGCTTCCTGTCTTAGGAGAGAGGGAGATGTCTGACAACTGCAAGGATAAGATGCTTTAATAGGCGATTGGCTTCCTTCTGTTGAGATGGTGGGGTAGCTTTTTTTGTGTGCTCATGTTTTGGTCTCTGTGGTTTAGGAAGACAGGAACTTACTTCTCCACATCCAGTAGAGGTTAGCTTCCTTTTTATTAGTTGGTCAGCAAGCAGTTTCTCTTTTCTGTACATAGTCCACATCCACTCAAACATCTGATTAACTGGAAAGCAAGACCGTTCTTAGGCCAGTGTACAAAATACATGAGAAAACATCCTTTTTCTAGTGGTTGAACGTTAGCTGCTTAAGGCCGGTTTTGGCAGCAAAATGATAGGATTAAAAATAGCCCGAAGACGACCCAGGCTTAAATGATGGATTTAATGATGAGCCCTGCTTGGGGAAGTGCATCTTTCTGCCTGCGAAGAGTCATATGGCCCCTTTCAATAATTTACTCTGTAGAGAAGAGATACAGTATGGCTCCTAGACTTTGCAGTCATGTGCTGTTGAGCAATCACATTTGGGGACTTTTGTAAAATTTGACAGTTCACTCAGTTCTCTTTTCTGTTTTAGGGCCTTTGTTGCTGTTTAATGTCAGTCGAAAACATGGCTTTCTTCTGTGCATCCTGTTACTTTTAGCTGTGCTTTCTAGTGAGAACGGATTGATCTTTTTAGCAATCCTTGGTTGAACTAGTACATTTCAGAGTCGCTAAATGTCATTAGGCCACATAGTACACCAGGTAACAGAAAGCCACAGATTTTTTTTTTAAGCCAAACTTTTATAGTTTATCTTTCCTCCCAGTCCTTGTCAGCTTTTTGGAGGCTGATAAACCCACTCATAAAGCAGGTGTGTGGGTACCGTGTGTATTAATAGCAGTCTCTCCCACTCAGCACACCCCACACCCATTTCTGAGGTCACCCGTCGTGTCTTCGCAGGGGCAGTATTTCAGCAGTATTGCAGCGTTTGTGCTGGAAAAACAACACTGTCTTTGTAGCGTACGAGTAAAAGGTTTTCTCTACCCCCAGAGGTACATTGTGTTTGAGGTTCAAAGGTTCTGTTAAACCTTTTTAAAGTAATCTAATAGCGCCTGACTCAGGTATGACGGTAAGCTCGCACGCTGGTCCCCCTTCCCCAGCTTCATACAGGGGACCACTCGGAGAAGTGAGTCCAGCACGGGGCTCTTCTTTCATCCCTCTTGGTTTGATTCAAACCAAGTCAGTGTGTGAGGTTGAAACAGGATTAAGGATGAAAGTTAGCCGAGCACTGGGGTGGTTATTCAGCAGAGCTGATTGCACGTCTTCTCTTTGC